AGAAAGAAAAAGAAGTTCGGTGGGGGAGGATACAAGCCTGGGATTGATAAAGGAAAAGGCAAGCAGACTGATGTGCAATAAAGAGACCCCAGCAAGCCGAATGCAGGTTGTTTATAAGCTATTCAACTTCATGCCGGGTTTACAGCCTTGGGCACAGGCTGAGTTACGGAGGCAGAATGTCAAAGACTTACCGTTTGCCATTGTTGCCGCAGATAGTTTGGTCGACTTTAAAACAATGACGCGAGATGGTTCTGTTGTTGTCTCCTCGAGATTCAAGGCTAAGGATAAGAGGGATGAAAAGAGAAAGAAAAAGAAGTTCGGTGGGGGAGGATACAAGCCTGGGATTGATAAAGGAAAAGGCAAGCAGACTGATGTGCAATAAAGAGACCCCAGCAAGCCGAATGCAGGTTGTTTCATTTGTAGTGGGCTATGCGTGTACTGAATGCAATTCTTGTGGGTGATAGTGAACAAGAGGAGACAGTCACGCACATCAACCCAATGCGTGTACTGAATTGTTTAGTTGCTGAGATGCAGGATTCGGTGGCCGAATCCAGCCTTGTTGAAACTGACTTAGCACGGATTGATGTGCTGCGACAAGGTAAATTGGGTGCTGTGGATTCTCTAATGTATGTTAAAATTAGAGTTAATGACAGAGAGATAGTTGCTATGTTGGATTCTGGTGCTACAAATACATTCGTTGCCGACAGGTTGGTGACGTGACGTAGCTTGGGTTGTGTTTGAGTAACAGCCAAACTTTGATGAAGGCAATGAATGCCAAGGCACAGTGGATACTGGGCATGGCCTATAGCGTGCCTATGGTGCTGGATAAGTGGCAGGGAAAGCAGGATTTGTTGGTAGTGATGCTTGACGATTTAACTAACAAGTGGTATATGACTTAACACTAATTACAAGCCCAAAAGATAACTTAAAATTCTAGTGAACTAAAAAATTACATAATCCACATATCCAAAATATACCTAGTAAGTAACTATCCACAAAAGAAGAAAATCAAGGTTGTTTTGCGGTATGAGAAGGACCTGCAACAAATATAACATAATTTATTTAGTAATACTAATTTAATTTACATGCATGCATACATACATATATATAGTTTACACCCTTTTTTTTCCACCTTGGTCCCCACCTTAATGGAAGTCCAAGTAATCACTAAATTAATCTAGGTATTCCTCAATTCCTAATCAAATTCATTACCACCTTAGCCATTTTACACATGAATGACTAAGTTTTATAACCACACCTTAGTTTCCGTTCTTACGAATGACCAAGTCATTTTTTCATATCACCTTAGCCATGCCTTTGCTAATGGTGAAGTCAATACTATTCACCTTAGCTTTCCACCATTTTGAAAAACTAAGGCAAAATTAATATTCATATCTCCTTAGTTTCTGACCGTTTAAACAACTAAGTCATATACATTATATTTTATATTAATTAATTTTATTCATCAAATAATTCTCTTCATTCTTAACCATGTGCTCTCATCATTCTCTTATAACCATGACACACTGCAGTTCTAATAATTATCAAATGTAAATAACAAAGACAACCCAATCATATATAAGAAAAACAAAAGAACAACTACAATAATTTTACATAGTTAAAAGAGTGAAACACCTACCTGTAACTCTAGGTGTTCGAGCTCGCTTCGCTATGGTTCCAGCCACAAATGCTCCTCCTATTAATATAAGGAAGGTATGCTTGTTACAATATTCATATCCAGAATTTGTAACACGTGTATAGTTTCATTGTCATGTTACATATTTCAACACTATATATGAAATTAGAATTAATAGGTAAAATCAGGGTTGTAATTTTATAGTTGGATACCGTCTTGCACAATTATTTTGTTTTCACAAAAACATATTTGTCCAGTATTACGGAACTTTGTTGCAAGCTGTAATGATATGAAATAATTTGATAAGATTACCACCACCATGACAGTACCTCCCAATAATAAATGCAAAATAAAGACACATTTTCAAAACCCTGAATCAAAGCCTCTAAAGTAATATGTTGTCCTGAAATCAGTAAATCAAATAGCTTCACCAATGTAATTCATACAATTATACAAGCTTTATTACATTCCATGCTCCTCCTCTGTTATTTCAAATGTAACCAGCATTGTTGTTGTTTTTTTTTTTTCATCTTCCATCCTTCATTATTTTGCATCATTATTAACCCGTCCTAACCCAATATATCAATTTCTACAATTTTACATTTTCCCTAAATTCTCTCCTAAAAACCCTAATTCAAGAAATCTAAAAACAATGCATTAATCTATTTCTTTTCACCCAAACTTGTTTAAACAACTTAGAACTCATTACCCAATACTAAAATGAAATTCAAAAGCTAACTTGGTGATGCTTTTTTTCTCCCCTTCAATTTTTCTTCTTTGTCATAGCTTACGACCCCTTTCTCACCCTCCTCCCTCACTTAGTTTTTTTCTTAAATTCTTGCTTGAGGAAGTGATTTGGTGATTTACACTTTTTAAATCCTTGATTCTACACAATTTCTACTCTTTCTTTTAAGGTATTTTTTTTCATGTGTTTTCCCCTCCTTTTCTCTCCCTCGATTTTATCCCTCTGTTTTCATCCCTCTATTACCTCTGTTTCTGGCATCAAAATAAGCGAGAACAAATTGTTGGACTCTGCCAGCTCATCATGTATTTACAAAACTGTCATTGGTGAATTTTATGTTATTTACTATCCGACTATTAGAAATTTTTAAAATATCTTTTTGAACTTGGATTGCCCTAAAATTTTAATCAAATGTAGAATTATATGTTATAAGATTTCTCCTAAAATTTCAATTTGATCTAACGGTCGGATTGAGCATTCTGCTCAAAAGTGTGAAACTATTCAATATGAGAAATATTTTTTTATTTTTATTTTTTTTAGGATTTCATAGAAGGAGTCCAGCCGCGCACAAATTTGCTAGGGAGAGGCAGGAACTCTTCGAACAAGCACAAAACAGTTTGCGAAGGGCAAGCAAGTGTATGATGAAATATGTTAATTATAAGCGGAGACCTTTGGAGTTTGACGTTGGTAAAGAAGTAGAGACCATTGGAGTTCGATGTTGGTGACAGGGTGTTGTTGAAGTTGACTTCACAAATATTAAAAAAAATAGTTGGGAAAAATCAGCACCGTGGATTAGTGCCAAGGTATGATGGGCCGTTTGAGATGATCGGAAAAGTGGGTGATGTTGCGTATAGGCTGAAACTACCAGAAAGGCTGAAGATTCATCCCACATTCCATGTTAGCTATCTAAAACCTTTTCACAAAGATGTTGAGGATTCGGAAAAGGGCAAATCACTAAGGGCTCCACCTACGATTCAGAAGCAATTTGAGCTGAAAATCGTGAAGATTTTTGACCATAGGAGACTTGGTTAGCACAAGAAAAATCGACGGACATAATTTCTTGTGAAATGGGAAGACAATCAGGAGGTTTCATGGGAGAAAGACATTGACTTATGACAGTTTGAAGACTTGGTGCCGGATTATCTTGCTACTAATCCGACAAGGGTGTCGGCTCTTTCTGGTGGGGGAGGTTTGTCACAGCCTTAAGCGCAAGGGCGCACCAACGATTTGCTGCTACGCAATAACGTCATACAAGTGCAGAGGTAGTATGCGTGGGCAGTGCAGATTTCGACAACAAATATAACGGGTGCGTGCAAACAGCGGGTTTACGCTTCGCACCATAATAGACTTCGACGATGGACTGTCTAAGTTATCTTGAGTTGCAAGTGAGGGATGACAGTTGGGAAAATCAATTTGAGCAGTTTGGTTTGTTGGGTGGCAGACCAAGAAAGTTGCTTGTGGGCAGTTACGAGACAGTTACGAGGCAGTAGGCTGTTACTGAAATATGTTGTGCTGTCTAGAGGGAATTAAATTGTCAAGGGGCAGTTTTATGTGTAACTTCCCTTAAATGTATGTGTATTACATAGAGCCTAAACATGTGTAGCATGCAGATTCAGATTGTGCATAGCACACACACATTGTTATTATGTATTCCTTTGTTTGTGAATTAATAAAGGTTGGGTTGATTCTCGTAAATTGCTGGTGTTTTTATTATGCTGTGTTTAATCTTTAACTTGTGTTCTTGTTGCCAAAATTGGTAAGAGTTATGGGGAAAAACCTCTGGGTGTGCGAAACACTTAGACTTTAGGTAAACACAAGTGAATCGGGAGAAGGGGAAAAACCTCTGGGTGCGTGAAACACTTAGACTTTAGGTAAACACAAGTGAACCGGGAGAAAGACTGAGTCTAGTAACAAGACTAGACTACCACACTAGGATTAAAATTTCGACAAAAATTTTATCCCCGTAACACATTAACATATTGTAAGATCCCATCGCGTTTATGTTACACAAGAATGTGATTCAATATATTACAATGCCATTAGGGCTTCCTTGACATTAATTGTGTTTGTCAAGAGAGAGAAGCGTGTGAGGGGAAAGTGCAAGAAATTTGCCGAAGACTCGACATGGCAAACGAGGCATGTCTTTTCCACCAGCGAAATGCATTACAACTTGAGTGGATGGTAGGGCTAAGCCAATTCCACATAGCAGAACAGGACCTGCAATTCTTGGGAAGCGGGCATTCCCGGCATCCATAACTTGTTAATAAGGTTATAGAAGGGGATTCAACCGAAATCCTCCCAACTCAAGTTGGGATAAAATTATTAAGCACGTTCACACGACCCTCAAGGACAACTTATCATGATAGATATCCTGCCAATTTTTGCAAGACTGAGGTGATTAGTTTCGATTATTGATGATTTATCCACTTTTCCTACCTGACAAGTTTCAGACAGCTACTGATTGCTATACAAAACAACACTTTTCCTACCTGACAAGTTTCAGACAGCCACTGATTGCTATACAAAACAACCGACGGTAATAACAGGCGCCCTAGAATTCATGCTACAAAACAATTTAGTGTGCAAAAGAAATCAGAGAAAAGGGTATATACACACAAGCAAAAGAAACCATAAAGTGGAAAACAATACACATATAATAAACATTTACCATGGTCAATTAGGAAAATGGAACACAAAGGGCTCTGCAAAATGGAACAGCTCACTCAGGCACTACTAGATTGCATTAATAACGTATCAGTTATTATCAATCTTATACGAGTATCAGTTATTATCGAAGATATAATTGCACGCTGAAGAGAGTATGCTGCACAACTAATTGTTTCTCTGACTCAGCACCCGCAGAATGGAAAGAAACAGGTTCAAAATGTCCAAGTAGAGAGCAACGGAGGCCAAAATATACTGATCATATGAGAAGCGCTTGATCAGGTGGTCAGTGTCATAAACTATGTATCCACAGAAAATCAAAGCGCTGATTCCACCATAAACTGCAGTAGATGTTGAGCCAAGTGGGAAGAACACCTGCAATATACCAGAGCATCCATAACATCAGACCAATGTACTGGGTGAACAAGGAATATCTTTGGTTTGCTCAGAAAACATATCCATGGCAGAATGAATTGAAGAAAATGAGGCATCTAACCTGGATAAAACTAGTCAGAATGAGGATAATGAGGGCAGTGAAGAGAATGGGTCCGAGGAAGCTAAAGTCCTTGCCCTTCTTAGAAGCCCAGAAAGTGTATCCGGTTAGAGAGCAAACCACAGCGGAGGTCAGAATTAATGCCTCAAGCACGATTTTCCCTGAAAGCATTTGAATGCAACACAATATTCATATCATAATTACAAAAGCAGCTCATAAAATCACCAACACGAAACCAATTATTAGATTTCCAAACAGGATAAGATCAAGATACCAACCTTCTATGTTAGCACAGCTTGCTCCAACCAAGAGGCTCAGTGAAACAGTGAAGAGGCCAAGAATGATTAGATTCACAGGGTGCTTCTGATGATACACATGCAAGGGCCACAACACTGCATTTTCCAACACTTGTGATTTAAATTAAAAGCACAAGATCTCAAGAAACAAGCAAATTCATAATACTTTTCCACGTGAATTGACTTAAGCCAATGATATATTCGAGCATTTAGGCATCTTACTTCCTGTTATATGCAAACAACAACGATAAAAAGAAACCCAGAGGCTTTAACCCAGTTCAAGTTTCACTCACCCCTACATCAAGACAAAAATACGCATACTATCCAAAAAACACAAACATGAATCAAGAAAACAAACATATTTCGCTTTAATCTTTAACCCAATTCAAGTTTCAATCTTGAACCTCAATCAAGATTCAACTTTAAACCCAAAAGACATCCTGAAACATGAAATTTAAAGAACATAAAATCACCATGTTGCAACCCTCGTAATTGAATTCAATTAGGTTTTAATAAAATCTTATATTTGGAATCATTTTAAGTGTCAATAATTGAATTCAATCTGTACAAAAGTAAATCAGAGGAAACTAAATAGGAGAAATTAATGTTAAAAATATGCATCGAACCATCTCTTTTGTTATAGACATTTGAAAAATAAGATAAAGATAACGAGGATATAATACAGTAAACAAAATGAATTGAGTTATATTTTTTTTTCCTGAATATGTGAATTTAGCTTATTTATTAATTGAATTCAAATTAAAATTCAATTACAGTAGAGAATTGGAAACCTGTACGCAAATCAAGAAACATTACGTGAAAAAAGAAGAAGAAGGAAACAAGAAAGGAGAAAGGAGAGATCTTGAATTTTGAGCACTCACAAATAAAGGGAACAATTGATAGAAGCATGACGAACCCAAAGCTTCCCCTGAGGAGATCAGTGATAGGAGTATATAGAACCGTAGCAGCAGCGACGATGGTGGTGAGGACAAGCTGAGCAGCCAAGATGCCATAAACCTTGCGAATCAAGCCCCATCGTAACTGGTTCTCTCCAAGACTCAAACCTGGGTACAAAGTCTCTCCATTCCCTGCCTCCAAATCAACCTCCTTGCCCGCATCCTTGTTGCTAACGCTCGAGTATCGGAACATCTCTGCTGACATTTTGTCTTCTTCTGTGCTTTCCTTGAAGAGAAGGGGAAGGGAGGAAGACTTTTTATTCTTTCTTCTTGGTGGGGAGGTTTATTCTTTATTTCTTTTATTGAAAGAGAGGGACAGGTGGTGTCTTGCTTCTTAAAGTGACCAGGTGTTGGGCACGAGAAGTGTGACAGACGAATAGGGTGATAGGGAATGGGATGGGGTCCAGAGGGATTGAGGGGAGAGGAAGGAAGACGACGGTGGTGATACGGTTTGGGGCAATCTCCGCTGGATGTTTTTGTGGGTGGGTGGGATCTGACCAAATATGCAAATGCAATGGAGGCATTTCTTTGGAAAATGAGTTGTTACCAAGAAAGTTCCTTTCTGAAGGTTCTTTTGTTCTGTGGGCCCGCATCCTATTCTTGTTGTCAAACGTGGATTGGCTTGGCTTGGCTTGTCGTTTAGGATCTAACCGATTGAAAAAAACTGGATTGGTGACTTTTTATTATAATTATTAAACAAAGAAAAAAAAAATATTTTTAAAAACTTAAACTTACTTGATATCATATTAAATATTTATTTTAATTTAATAATTTAAATTATTAAATAAAATTTATAGATATAATTTATATTATTCTTTATTATATATTTTATTTATCAACTTTCGAATATCTACATAGATATTTATTAATTGATTATTATTATTTTAAGTACTTTTATATATATATATATATATATATATATATATTGACATAATATACACATACATACATACATACATACATATGTATGTATTTTTTATTATGTTTGATAATATTTATATTATATTCATTACTCATCCATCAAGATAACTATATATAAAAAATATGCACACATTTAAATCAACTTAATATTCATTAAGTTTGGATTAAGTTGTCATCCTTATTAAAGAAAATACACACACATTTAAAGGTGTGGTGACTCTTGCTTGAACCTCCTAGTTCCAAGTTAATATCCATTAAATTTGAATTAAGTTGTCATCCTTATTAAAGAAAATACACACACATTTAAAGGTGTGGTGACTCTTGCTTGAACCTCCTAGTTCCAAGTTAATATCCATTAAATTTGAATTAAGTTGTCATCCTTATTAAAGAAAATACACACACATTTAAAGGGGCGGTGACTCTTGCTTGAACCTCCTAGTTCCAAGTTAATATCCATTAAATTTGAATTAAGTTGTCATCCTTATTAAAGAAAATACACACACATTTAAAGGGGCGAGGA